TCCCTGCTTGTAGCCTGGAAAAGCAGAGGAGGATGCCCTAAGGCCTTAGGACCCTGCACCTGCATGAGAGACCAGGAAGAGGCTCCAGGCTCCCAGCTCCTGGCTTCGGATCAGTTCAGCTCCTGCCGTTCAACCATTTGGAATGTGAACCAGTGGATGGAAGATCTTTCTGTCTGCTTCTTTCTGTAAATCTGACTTTCCAATAAAAATAAACAAATCTGGATTTTTTTAAAAAGCCTTTATTTTTTTATGACACATTTCCATAGACTTGGAGATTTCCCATCTCCCCCTCCTCGTTTTCTCTCTGCTGATTTCCCCTATTTTATAATCATAGTCTTTCAAAAATGGACATAGGCCCATCATTCATTGTAGGTATAGACTATTATAGAAAGTGCAACATTCTATTGTAAAGATGTATTGTACAGCTTCATTGGGATTCCATCTTTCATTTGGGAGTAGAGGTGCATACTGCAATGTATCCTCACTTCTGGGTATGACAGTCTCTATTTTATAGTTCCTTTAGATGATTACTTACATATATATATACACATGCATGTTTAGCTATACATCTATTGATCTTGTATTTTGTATGAAGGTTGCTTTTTATCAGAACATATGATATCTGTTCTTTCACTGAGTCTATTGGTGCCTTCTGGACACCATTTATTCCATTAAATGGATAAGTGTTCTGACTGGCTGCACAAAACAGACTGAAGTTATTGCCAGATGAGGACTGAAGAAAGCATACACAAAACACAGAGCGCACTGGTCATTCCAGCCTCACTCATCCTCTAGGGTGGGCACAGGTAATTGCAACATCAAATTAATTCATGTCACCTTGTGTCAGCCTTACAGGATGTAGGGAGCAAGGAAGGCATTGGCCTTCAGCTCTCATTCTCCTGACTTCTCAGCAAGTCAGCTTCACAACTTAGCTTCAGTTTGGTGATGTGGAACTTCATCATAGGTGATTCCATTTGACTTTTAGTCTGACCTTTTTGGGGCTCAATACAAGAACTTAATCCGAAACAACAGGCCCCTGTAATTTTCAACAATCTCCACATTGCTAAACACAGTGGTCATTTTTAGCCACCTCCCCTGGCAACACTATTTAGGATAACTCAATGCTTCCCGATTTTCTTTGCTTGGTGTCTAGGACACTACTTGTGAATTTTCTCTCATCACTAACTGATTCATCAGTCACCTCTGCAGATAATTCCAAATCCACCTCAACACCATGGAGCACTTGCTTCGGTGATATCAACAACTGCTACCAAAATATTGCTGTGAAACCCTCAACTGACAGCTAAGGTCAGATGTTCCTCCTCATCCCCAGACTAATTCATCCAACTGTCTCTTCCACAGTTGAATTTCAACATACAGAGACATCTCAAATGTAACGGGGACAAACTGAATTACTGATCCCTTTCCTCCTCTCCATATACACACTGGGAGATTTTCCTAGGACAATAAATGGCAACTCCTTCCCTGTAGTTACTGAGACTAGAAACAAGGTGTCATCTTTGATACTCATGTCTCACATTGAATTTGTTGCAAAAAATCTGTTGACTGGTCCATCCAAACACATCTGGATTTGGGCCTCTTCATCCTCCCCTGGTTCACACCAGCACAATCATCTCAACTGGACTGTCTCTTGAGCTTCCTAATCAGTCTCCCTGCTTTCACCTTTGCTTCTGTGGTCCACAGTCAACCTGTGTTACATCCAGTGATCATTTTAAAATGTCACATCATACTCAGGCCTGCTCAAAACCGCCCAAGGGTTTCCGTGGACCTACCACCACCCATGAGGGAGACCTGTATGAAGTTCCTGGTTCCTGCTTCAGCTTGGTCCAGTCTGGCTAGTAGTTTGTGGAGACTGAATCAGTGGATGAAAGACCTGTCTCTAATTTTTGGAAAATAAACAAACAGATCTTACAAACAAATCCAAGTCCTTTCACTCCTGCCCTCTCCTGCCCTCACTATGCTCCAGCCACTTTAGCCCCTCGCTGCTTCTCCCCGTGTGAGTCTGCTGCCATACACAGGCCTCTGCCCAGGCCATGCTTTGCACTGGGTTCTTTATAAAGATTTATTTTTATTATTTTTTCATTGGAAAGGCGGATATACAGAGAGGAGAGACAGAGAGGAAGATCTTCCGTCCGATGATTCACTCCCCAAGTGAGCGCAACGGGCCGATGCTATGCCGATCCGAAGCCAGGAGCCTCTTCCGGGTCTCCCACGCGGGTGCAGGTTCCCAAAGCTTTGGGCTGTCCTCGACTGCTTTCCCAGGCCACAAGCAGGGAGCTGGAAGGGAAGCGGGGCTGCCGGGATTAGAACCGGCGCCCATATGGGATCCCGGGCGTGCAAGGCGAGGACCTTTAACCACTTGCGCCACCGCGCCGGGCCCTGCACTGGGTTCTTTACTCAGCCACCTATGTGGCTTGCTCCCACTCCTCCTGTTCATCCTTTCAAAGGCTCCTGTATGAGTAGGTCTTCTCTGACCACCTAATTAAAGGGAACTTTGCCCCCTACAACCTGGCACTCTCTTAAGCCTAGTGGGTTTGCATTTTCCTCTACTGCCTTTACCTTCATGTATTATGTCATCTTCCTATTTACTATCTCAGTACTAGAATGCAGATCTTATGACAGTGCCCAAGGCTAGCTCCTGGCCATCTGATTGGCACTGCAGTGATCTGTTGAGTGAATATTTGTGTGAAAGGACATGAGAACGAGTGATGTACAAAGTTTTGTATGGCTGAATTGCAGACTTGTATACTAAGGTAGTTGGAAGAGATGGGAAAAGAGACCATAAGATATAATGGACTGTTGCCTCTACATTAAGAGCAGCAAAACAACACTGGAGTTTCATGTAAGAGAAAAAGCTGATCAGCTTTATTTTCAACAGTCTGGCACCAGCATTGTGGTTTAGTGGCATCCCACTTGGGCCTTGGTTAATAACATGGCTGCTCCGCTTCCAATCCAGCTCTCTGTAATGTGCCTGGGAAAGAGCGGAGAATGGCCCAAACACGTGAGTGCCTGCACCCATTGGGAGACCTGGAAGCAGTTCGTGGCTTTCGACTGTGCCCCTATTCCAGCTGTTTGGGGAATGAACCAGCATATGTAACTTCTCTCTTGGTCTTTCCCTCATTCTGATTTCTGCAAGCAAACAAATAAATAAATCTACAGGGAGTGTGTTTGGAGGTTCGTATTTCTCCCTCTCTCTATAATTCTACATTTCAAATAAAAAATTAAGAAACTACTGGATCTTTTGCAACTGGAAAAGTTGCAAAAAGCAGTCCAAAAAGGAGACTGAAAGAGAATTATTTTGGGTTTGCTTTTTAAAATCGCATTCCTGAGAAGTTCTTTTAAAAATTAGTCAAGACAGTAGCATTAGAATGTATCAGGCCTGATGTTGATTTTGTTTTGTGGCTCTTCATTTAAGGGGATGTATAGTAGCTGTGTAATGGAGACTGTCATATCTAGTAACATGTTATTTAACTTCATGGCATTGTAAATTTCTATTTTTCTTTTTATTGTTGATTTTGTATCATGACTTTTCATTTAAGGGGATGTACAGTAGCTGTAAAATGGAGACTAACATCCAGATGTCAGGATACAATGTAATATGCATTTCTACTTCCAAACAAAGATGGACTCACAATGAAACTGTTTACTATATCTTGACAATAAGATTCTGGACTCTCTGCCATTGTCCATGCCCACAGTGAAGGACACATGACTGTGTATGAAGAACTAAATGTTAGTAATGATATAGGGGAATGAGGTAGGGGGAAGGGTATTGGGGAGGGGAGAAGGGAATATGTAACTGTATCATAAAAAGATAATAATAAAATGTTTAAAAATTAAAAAAAAAAGAAGACTGTATCAGGCCTTGCCCAATCAGGCCGATTCACTGAACTGGTTCAGGAACAGATTACAAACAAACAAACAAACAAATGAAAACAGTACCTCTGCAGCTTCAAACAGCTAATCTGTACCCATTCCCCCTGAAAGGATTTGGCTTGGCTTACTGTCGCTTCTTCTAAGCACCCCATCTCTCATTCCTAGCTTAATCTTTAGGCTTCTACCACACTGCGGATCAAGATGTCCCTAACCTGGCTATTCTGCCCTCGGTGTTCCACTAGCCATCCCAACAACGCCAGGCTGTGTTGGAAACACCTAGCTAAATGCTGCTTTCTCTAGCTAGACGGGCCGTGCCTTTTCTCAGCTCTACACACCCAATGCTTAGGAAGGCTAAGTCTGAGAGGGACCTCTGTTTTGCAATATGAAGAATTAAGACTGAGTCACAGATGATTGACCCACACATGGCCTTTCAGACCTCAACTATTCTCAGGAGTAATGACCTCCAAAACGAACAGTCGAGATTGTTTTCAGCTGCACTTGCTCTTAGCAAAAAGGCCCAGAAGCAATGTGATTTCCTTTAAATGAATAAATCTTTCAAAGTTACTAAACTGGGAGTGGGGGCGGGGAGAGGAGGCTACACACTGTGTACTGTATATATCAGTATCGTGTACTGTCCGCACAGTACGAGATGTCATTCGGGAATACCGAGGACGTTCTTCTTCCCGTGAGTCTCAGACGATTCCAATACCTGCTTCAAATCTCACTCTGTAAACCCAGAGTACACCCCATGGGTAAAGGCAGACAAATGCAATTGTGCAAGGGGTTCTTAACCCACCCCACGCATGTCCACGAACAGGCAAAGACGACAGTACGGAGCACTGTTTCCAACACCATTCTCCTGGCATGGTGTTAAGTACGCCCCTCCAAATCGCAACTCCCCCCACAAAAAAGCCTCGCCGGACCACGTCCTCCTGGTGTGCTCGGGTACCTGTTCCCAGTCCTTCTCACACCGGTCACTGGGAAAAGGCCCCAGGAAAAGGCAGTCGCCTCACATGGGCTGTGTTTCCTAGAATCCCAGAGGGAACCAAGGAAAAGAGAAACCTGATCTAGAGAAAGGCAACAGAGAAGCCAGCAGGGCTTACCAGATCGAAGCCCGCAGGCCTCCGCGGCCTCCCCTTAGCTTCGGGTTCCCAGGCAGCCACAGGTACGCCGCAAGGGCCTCTGGGGGCTGTAGTTTCGGTCGCACACAGGCCGCGCCGGCAGCATCCAAAACTACAGTCCCAGAAGTCAATGCGAACGCGTACCGGGACCCATTAAAGCCTGCAGTTTGCCTTTAAGAATAGAAGCCGGCGCTATTTTTTAGGCTAATCTTTTTAACATTCCAGGCCTGCCTCTTGGTCTGTGTTGGACTCGTGTGGGATCAAGTCTCAGCCCGTCTGTACTCCTTACTTGGGCTTCCTCTTCTTCAGGACTCGGGAACCGGCCAACGCCCCCTCCCCGGCGCGCGCCCGGGGCTTGGCCTGCGCACGCGCCCTCCGCGGCCACGCATGCGTAGCGCCCGCAGCAGTCGCCAGCCGCGCGCGCCGCGGGGTGCTCGGGGTCCCGGAGGTAGCCGGGCGGAGGCGGGGCCTGCTTCCCCACCCCAACCCCGCGATGGCTTTTGCCCCGGCGGGTCGCGTCGGCCTGGGGCGGGGAAGACGGCGCTGGGGCAAGGGGGCGGCTCCTGGCCTGGGCCGGGCGGAGAAAGGGGCGTGTGGGAGAGGTGAGGACCCCCCATCTCCACTCCCCTGCTCCCGCCCCCTGGGCCGAGCCCCACCGAGGATGGGGGCGGGCTCTGCGCCTCGGGTCCTCGCCGCCCCGTCAGCTCCGCGGCCCAGCCCGGCGCCCCAGCACTGGCCCGGGCCAAGCCTCTCTCTTGGCTGGGCCAGGAGCCGGCGGGGGTCGGAGGAGCGGCGGCCGCAGCCCGGGCCAATCCGAGCGCGCAGCGAGGACAAGGGGCTAGGGGAGGCTGCCGGTCGCCCTCCTCTTCCTCCTCCTCCGGGAGGACGAGCCGCGGAGCCGGCGTCCGTCGGGCGGGCGTGCTGAGGCGCTGGGCGGAGCGCCGAGGGCGGAGCGTGGCGCCCGGAGAGGGGCGGGGTGGGAGGGAGCCGGGTGGCTGCCACGGGCACACGCACACACACACACACACACACACACACACACACATACAAAAATCGCAAATGGCTGGAGAGCGTCGGAGGGTGAGCGGCCTCTTTGGGCAGCAGCACGGATTTGACAGCTCGACGACGTGAGGATATCCGCTGAGCCCGCCAGGCCCAGAGCACTGCCCCGGTGCAGCGAGGCCGGCCGCTGGCCCCCTCCGCCACTTCCCAAACTTTTGTTTTTCAATTTCTGACCCGGAGAAGGACGCACTGCCCCTGCCGGGCGGAGGAGAGAGAGAGCGTGTTGGAGGGGGGCAGATCGGTTGGAGGCCAACACTTAGACCAGACACCTCCGGTGCCCTATGTCAGCCCGACGTGTGTTGTCGTGACGACTCGAGCTGTTTTTTGCTTTTTTTTTTTTTTTAATTTTGTTTTTTTAGAGCCTCCCGTGCCTCATTTAGGAACTGCAAAGTGTCCTTTTTTGGGGGAGGGTGCTGGTGGAGGGGGCATGCTGAAAGGTAACTGAAAGACCCCCACGTCCGGATCGTCATGGAGGAGGGAGAGAATGAAGTGAGGTGGGATGGGCTGTGCAGCCGGGATGCCGCCACCCGGGAGACCGCTCTGGAGCACATCAGGCAGGTGGTCCTCAGGAAGACCGAGTGCCTCCGGTTCGCCCCAGAGACCCCTCACCGTCCGCTGGACGGGCATCACCCCAGCGCCGTGGCCGCCGACGGCTTGAACAAGTTGCTCGCCCATCTGCTGATGCTTTCCAAGAGGTGTCCCTTCAAAGACGTGAGGGAGAAAAGCGAGTGCATCCTGCAGTGTGTCCAGGTAAGCGAGTGCCTCCTGAGAAGTCTTGTCCAGCACGCGCCCGCAGTGACAGTGTCTTGGCAGTCCCGGGGAGTTGCAGTTGCTTTTTCTCGTGGCTTGTGAACTCCGGGATCCCCTTGGCGATCTCAAAAGCAAGGTGGTAACTTGCTGTGAAAACGCTGAGTCTGGAGCACAAACTGGACAAGTGTAAAAAAAAAAAATTGGTTTTCAGCTCAACAAGTCTTGTTTCTAGAGTGTGCAAAGCAGAAACTTTGCCACAGTTCCTTGCAAAAAATACTTGAAAGCTACAGCTAATTGCAAGTGGAGATTTGGGGCTTTTTGTATCTTTTTAAACATGTGACTGGCAAATGTAGCCAGTATGCTGTTCACATCGTTACGAAGTGTTCAGAGTGGAAAGTTTCTCATTTTTTAAAAGCCTTTAACATGATAACGCTTATTAACTGTTTCCCAGGCAGCTTGTTCTAGATAATTAGCAGGACAGTTTTTTCTTGTTAACCACTCCCCCCAAACGCCAGGATGTATTCTCTCTGAATGTCACCCTCCTTTTTTTTTTTCTTCCAAAAAATGAATTAGAAAAAATTAGCAAACACCTGTGGTTATAAAGAAACTAACTTCATTAGTTTCTGAAGTTCGACCCAGATAGGGGTGAATGGTAGTTAACATGTTTATGGGAAATTATTTAGCCAGCTTTCTTTGTGTCTGCCTAAGTTTTTTTTCTTTCCCTATATACATCCCTATTTAAACTCTGGGTACATTAGATCACAGCATTTCATTTTCTCCCATTTTGTAGTCCTGTTTTACCAGATTGTTTTATCGAATAATGTGTGTATGATTCTTTTGGTGTTAAGAATATTCACTGACACAATATGCTTGCCAGTGTATAAATTAATCCATACATTTCAGAATCATGTATGATGTTTAGATTTTACAATGAGCTTGGATACGTGTATAAGCTAAAATTGATATTTTGTTGTTGTTGTTGTTTTCAGTGGCTTGAGGCTAAATTAAAGCAATTAAAAAACATCATATGCACAAAATAAGGGCTGTTTCACCTCACAAACACAATTCGTTTACTTAGAGTTACCAAAAGGAATTAATTTTCTAGATCCCTGAAATCTGTCCTTTTAAGCATACAAGGCTGTTTTTCTGTCTCAGGCTCTGATGATGTAACAGCCTTTCTTTTTTCCCCACAATGGGATCTCCATTATGCACAGCAAATGCTGTGAAGGAATGTATAGGCCTACAGGTTGCATATTTTGGGGGTTTTTGTGTCCCAATTTTTTAGGGTTTCTATTCTTTCCCTTGCTGTCAGTGTCCTTCACTGTGGTCTCTTCCTGACCTGTCTTGCTGCTAATTTATATTAGAGTGGGAAACCAGAAACCAGATTTTTATGTTACATTGAAAATAAGAATAAGTTCCAGGCAGTACAGTGTCAAAGGTTAGCAAGTAGCTGGGTCCCTGAGTCAGACCTGAGATCGAATTCTACTCCCTCATTGCTATACTGCATAATCTTGGGCAAGGTTCTTGACCTTTCTCAGCTTGGATTTCCACATCTATAAAGTGGGAATAACAGTGTGGAGCTGTTGGGAGAAAGCAGTAAGAGGAAGTGGATGATTCTGTCCTCCGTCAGAAGTGAAAAGCAGGGACTGTGTGATATTGCAGTGGCAGACTTAGTCACCCTGCAAAAAGGATGCTAGTCTTTACTGGCACACCTTCCAGTAGATTTGTACTCTTTTCAAGTCTGCATCTATTTTACTCTGATCCTGCCACAATTACACTCTCTCCTCTCTCTCCTCTCTCTCTCTCTCTCTCTCTCTCTATATATATATATATATATATATGTACATATATACATAGTAACTTGTTTATGTGCCTGTCTCCCCAGGAAGGCTCTAAGTTCTCAAGTGTATTGACTGCAACCTGGAAACAAATAAATAAATATCCAGCGGATGAATGAATTTGTATTTGCTCTCTTTCTCATCCATCTGAATAGAAGTTTCCACTTTAGGGAGATTCCACTGCCACATTCATGCAACAGGTGCTTATTGCACTCCTGGTGAATGGACCGGGTTCCAATGCTGGCATTCTTCTGAAAAGATGGATTATAAAGAAGTAAACAAAAATGTTTAATTTTAGATAGAGAAGTCTCCCATGGGGTCTTTGCATTGAAGCTGAGACTTGATGAGTAAGTACTGTACATGAAGTGAGACCTCTCCAGACCTGAGGAACAGCATGGATGAGGTTCTGGTGGCAAGAGAGATCAGGTGCGTTGCAGGAACTGAGGCGATGCAGTGTGGTTGGATGAAGCAGTGTGAGGGCCATGTGAAAGCTCTTGCAGACCTGGCTCCAGGAGTTTGTTAGATCTCCAGCTGGGGATACGAAGTCGTGTCATCTTTGCTGGACTAAGTTTTCTCCTCTGCAACCTGAGGATGATGATGGATAGTTCCTGTCCTGCGAGTTCCTGTTACTGCGAGTGTAAAAAATCCCAGCGTGGCGCCTAGCACATGGGAAAGACTTGGTAACTTTGGCTATTCTTGACTCTTATTAGGCAGGAGCCAGACTCCAGGAGGAGCTGACAGGCCATGGTCAAGGTTAGGGACTTCATTCTAGAAACAGTGAGGAGCTTTTCAGTGTTGTTTTGTTTTGTTTTGTTTTTAGTTAGATGATGACATGATTAATGGTGTGTTGGAAGGATCACTGTGGAAGCCAGGTGGAGAATGGATTTCTGGGGTCACGAGTAGAGGTGCGGCTTCAGTTAGGAGGTCATCCTATTGGCTTTGGTAAAAATGATGGTGGTCTAGGATGTGGAAAAAGTGAAGAGGCCTGGGAGATAACACTGAATTAGAAACCACAGGATAAAGCATTTACATGGATTTAAAAGATAAGGAAAATAAAATCAAGAATGGTTCTAAAGTTTCTGACTTGAGCCAGATTTGTTTCCTGAAAACAGAGTAACAGGTGACCCATTGAGGGACAAAAGGAGTTGTCTTAGATATGTTGAGGTTAAGGTGCCTGTAAGATACCTGAGTAGAAACACCTCCCCAATAGACTTCTGCCCCCTTGCTGCCAAGTGTTCCAGTGTTGCCTGGACCATCTTTTCCTTCCCCAGGCTTCCCCATCCTCCACAGGGCTGCAGAGCCATTTATCTCAAGTGAAAATCTGACCATAATACTTTCCCTGTCCAAACCCCTTATACAGGAATAGAATCTATATTTCTTGTGACCATCACATAATGCCCAGCCTCATCTGGCTTTCGTTTATCTGCACAGTCACATTGCTCACACTTCCAGCAATCAGCCTCCTAAGCAAAATGGGAAAGTAGTGAAAAGGTGACAATTGATAATGCATTCTGTTATTCATTAGTAATGCAGCAAAAGCTGAGCTACATGTGCCAGTGTAGAGGAGAGATGATAGAGGTGGTGGGATGGATGGAACTGGAAAATGGCTAATCTTGTGCAGAATTGGCATGTTAGGAGATGGTATCATCTGTTTATATGCCTGTTCTTAATTTATTGAACTGACATCAACATTTAAACCTATTCCACATATTTTTGGAACCTATTCTGTGGTAGATACTATACTCAGGACTAGAAGATCAATATTTGTTTGCTGTTTTTGAAGAAGGCCCTGTCTTCTCATAGGAGACTTTATGCTGGATTTAGAAAAAAAAAAAATATATATATATATTATGTATAACACCTTCCTGACACTCTTGATAGTTTAAAGGAAAATAAATACTATCACAGGCCCACTTTACTAATAAAATTCACTGGTGGGGAACTATATAGTCTTGGTGATGTATGTACTTATTAATAAGAGTGCATTTAAATATTATGGAATTATAAAGAGTACCCTGAATAGCCAGGTACCTTAGAAGAGTGATCATTTAATCATTTTTACTGTAGTATGAAGGACAACTGTTGAGTTTTCTCATAAGTTTGCAGGCAGATAACACTGAAAGTAATTTGGTTTAAAATAGAAAATTTAAACTAAGTAATCAAACTGATGCCTTATAGGAGTGTAAATACTAGAGACCACCAGGCCCTAGTACCCATTTTCAGTCTTATTCCCTTAGCTCAAAGTGTCCTTGCCCTGCTTTGATGATTGCAAACCAATCTCTTTCTAAAACCAACTTCTACAATGGCTCTCAGATCCCATGGCTTTCAGATCACAAGGCTCATAGGTCACTTCTCTCCTCTGTAGATAACATCTTGATAGTAAGCCTTGGCTTGTTCCACACCCTTGCCCTCAGTAACCCAGGCACTAATCAACAAGTACTGCTACCTACACATCACCCTCAGACGACTGCAGCCCACTTTGCCATCATTGGAACTCCCCAAAGAGCACAATGGCTATCTAGTCAGTGCCCAACCAAAGGAGGACCACTAGGATTGTGGGCCAGCCAGACCTCCACTCATGAAGTGAACATGGACCTCTGAACCCCAAGTTCCATTTGTAACCTTCACTACCTTTAGCACCTCAAGGAGTGAGCAGTTAAGTGACAGCTCCAAGTACTCCTTTCTGTGTACTCTGCAAGTCAATAACTGCCTGCTTCCACCAGCCTGATGTCAATGATGGGCCTGATGCACGTTGGAGTTTATCATTTTCTATTGGGGGTGGTCAGAGGACCAGGGGATGGCACTAGGAGACTCATTTAGTGAAGTAACTGTTTCATCCCATGAACTGAGTTGCTGACTTTGATGTACTTTCGCAGCCTCTGTTAGAGTTGCAGGTGGAGTTGGAGTATCTTATTGGTACCAATTGGGTAATTCAAATCTGTAGTTCTAACAGTAAGTCTGCTTCACAAAAAGACTCTAGAAGTTGGCAGTTTGCTTGATTAATGGCTTCAGTGGCTCGGCCACATTACCTTTTTGCTTTCCATCTGTTGATGTTCTCCTTAGCTCAGCCTAGAAATTGATGTCTCCTCATTGCAAGGCTGCTACAGCAGTTCCAGGCCCACATGCAGTCATGACCATCTGCAGCTAAGAAGAAAATAACTT